TCCTTGCCACTTGCAATGAAATGTGAGAGGAAAGAAATGGACTTAAAAAAGGACTGTGCAAAATGAAAACAGATCTTAAAGATTTGAAAATTCTGTTGTACAAACTAAGGACACATGCCCTAGAATTTTCAGCAAGGATGTGGCTACATAATCTTTTGTTAAAGAGATTGTGATAGTTGGCGCTGTGTGTCAACTTGGCTGGACCACAATTCTGTGTGGTTTGAGCTGTTGTGGTATGGTTGTTCCCAATGATGGGATCAGAGGAATATGTTTTGAGCGGCCAATCTGTTGAAAGGGAGTTTCCCTAGGGGTGTAGCCTGCTTCCAGTATATCTGTGGACATCCTGGGAGAGGAGACATTCTTCTGTGGATCGAGATTCTGTTGTACTGCCTACAACTGTCTGTGAGTGAACAACCCACCATTTGGCCTGGAGATCTTGGATTCATCATTCGTTGGAGTCAACAGCCGGTGTACTGCCTGCCAGCTCTGAGCTCCTCAGCCCCTGCAGCTGCAAGAGTCAGGAAAAGCCTCCAGCTTGACGTGGAAAAGCCTCCAGCTTGACGTTTGATCCAGGAACTTTGGACTTGCCAGCTTCTTTAAGTGTGTGAGCCATTTTCCTAAGATAAATCTCTCTCTCTCTCTCCATATATATATATATATATAAGCTTTACTGGTTTTGCTTCTCTAGAGAACGCAGTCTAACACAGAGATTAAGCCTGTGACTGATGGATCTAACCAACCACCACAGCAGAAAACCCATCAGCTTAAACTGAAGGGGATAGAGACAGAGTGAAAGGAAAGAATGTGTCTGCCTCTTGGAATTTTACAGGTAGAAAAACAGGCCAAAGGGGCTACATCTCTTGCCCTCTAAGAAAAAAACCATCCCTGGAGCAGTTCAGAGATCAACAGAATTGTTGGAAGAAGCATGGAAAGAAGAGCTGTCTCAGTCTCAAAGGGTACAGCCAAGTCCTCCTAGGTTTCAAGGAGTCAGATCTTCACCTATTCTGTTCCAAAGTATTTAGCTGCCACATAGTTTAGTCAAGAGGATGGAGATGCTGCATAAAGCTGAGGAGGTGGGGCTGTCATACCGAAAAGGCAGAAGAATGGGACCTGCTAGGGCAGAGGGATTACACCACTCAGATGGACTAGGAGAATGGGCTGCCTAAAGCCAAGGGAGAGGAGTTGCCATCCCACTGGGCCTGGAAAGCAGGGCTAAAGCCCAGAGCCAGGGGGCCTCTCCACCTGGACATCCCAACAGCCAGAGTCTGGAGGGTAAGGTCATTGTTCAGATGGTCTCAGAGAAAAGAGGATTATTTTCAAGCCTTGAGAATTAATGTAAATTGTTCTGCTGGGTTTTGGACTTGCTAGGTGCCCATTTATCCCTTCTTTCTCTCCAGTTTCTCCCATTTATAATGGAAATGTCTAACTTGTGCCTGTTCTACCATTGCATTTGGAAGCAGGTAACTTGGAGTCTAGATTTCAAAGGTTCACAGATGAAGAATTTTGCCCTTGGGTAGAATATGCCTAAAGTCTCAACCATATTTGATACAGCGGATACAGAAGTTTAGACTTCAGACTTGGAGTTGATTTAAGACTTTTGGGGTGAAGGTATTTTACAAGTGAAATGAATTTTGGGAGTAGAATGTTACGGATTGAAATGTGTTCCCCAAAAGCACCTGTCATAAATCCTAACCTCTATGCCTATGGTTCACCATTCATCTGTCAGTGTGTTAGGCTGGGTTCTCTAGAGAAGCAATACCAGTAAAGCTCATAGAGAGAGAGAGAGAAAGAGAAATTTATCTTAGAAAAATGGCTCACACACTTAATAGAAGTTGGCAAGTCCCAAGTTCTTGGATCAAATGTCAAGCTGGAGGCTTTTTCTGACTCACACAGCTGCAGAGGCTGAAGATCTCAAGGTTGGCAGGCAGTACTGGCTGTTGACTTCAATGAATGACAAATATAAGATCTCCAGGCTGAATGGTGGACTGTTTGCTCACAGACAGCTGTAGGCAGCACAACAGGATCCCGATCCACAGAAGAGTGTCTCTTTTCCCAGGAAGTCCATAAATATACTGGAAGCAGGCCACACCTCTAGGGAAACTCCCTTACAACAGAATGGCTGCTTAGAATATATACATCTGATCCCATCATGGGAACAACCCACATCACAATTAAACCACATAGAATTGTGGTTCAGCCAAGTTGACACACAGCTCCAACTATCACAGTCAACTTGGCCTATAAATGACAAGCTGTGATGGGGAAGCTATGCCACTGGTATTTCAAATACCAGAAGGGTCATGGTAGACAGGTTTCAGAGGAGCTTTCAGACTAAGACAGACCATGAAGAAGGAAATGGTCAGGTCTACTTCTGAAAAAATGAGCCACTGAAAACCTTATAAATAGCAGGGAAACACTGTTTGATATAGCGTTGGAAGATGAGCCCCTCATGTCGGAAAACAGTCCAATACAACTGGGAGAGAGCTACATCCTCAAAGTAGAGTTGACCTTAATGGCATAGAAGGAGTAAAGCTTTCTGGATTTTTGGCCATTTCAGGAGACAGCATAAGACCAAGAACTGATGGTATTGAAGGAAGAAGTACAAGCTGTACTGAAGGAATTGGTGAGAAACAAGTCTCTAGGAATTGAAGAACTACCCACTGAGATGTTTCAACAAACATATACAGCACTGGAGGCACTTATTTTTCATGCCAAGAAAAATAGAAGACAGTTACCTGGTTAACCAGCTGGAAGAAAACCGTATTTGTGCCCATTCCAAAGAAAGGAGATCCAAAAGAATTCAGACATTATCTAACAGTATCATTAATATCACTGCAAAATTTTGCTGAAGATAATTCAAAATGGTTGCAGTAGAGTACTGACAGGGAACCGCCAGAAATTCAAGCTGGATTCAGAAGAGGACATGGAATGAGGGTATCATTGCTGATGTCAGATGAATCCTGCCTGAAAGCAAAGAATACCAAAAAGATGTCTACCTGTATTTTATTGACTATACAAAGGCATTCAACTCTGTGGATTGTAACAAATTTTGGACAACATTGTGAAAAATGGGAATTCCAGAACATTTAATTGTGCTCGTGAGGAACCTGTAAACATACCACAAGGCAGTCATTCAAACAAAACAAGGGGATACCGCATGGTTTAAAATCAGGAAAGGTGTGCATTAGGCTTATGTCCTTTCAGCATACTTATGTGATCTGTATGGTGAGAAATAACCTGAGGAGCTGGAGGATTACATGAAGAAGAACACAGTACCAGGATTGGAGAAGTTTCATTAACAAGCCACAGTATGCAGCTGACACAACCTTGCTTGCTGAAAGTGAAGAAAACTTGAAGCACTTACAGATGAAGATCAGAGACTACAGCCTTCAGTATAGACTGCATTTTAACATAAAGAAAACAAAAAATCCTCACAACTGGACCAATAAGCAACATCACAATAAATGGAGATCAATGATTTTGTTTTACTAGGGCAGACAACAAACATACATGAAAGCAGCAGTCAAGAAATCAAACAAAGTATTGCATTGGGCAAATGTGCAAAAGACCTCTTTAAAGAGTTAAAAAGCAAACATGTCACTTTGAAGACTAAGATCTGCCTGACCCAAGCCATAGTATTTTCAATAGACTCATATTCATGTGAGAGCTAGACAATGAATAAAGAAAACTGCAGGAATGATGCATTTGAGTTGTGGTGTTGGCAAAGAATACTGAAAGTACCATGGACTGCCAAAAAGACAGACAAATCTTTCTTGGAGGAAGCAGGCCAGAATGCTCCTTAGAAGCAAGAATGGCCAGATGCCATCTCTTATACTTTGGTCATGTTGTCAGAAGGGACCAATTCCTGAAGAAGGATATTATGCTTGGTAAAGCAGAGGGTCAGCGGAAAAGGGGAAGACCCTCAGTGAGATGGATTCACACAGTGGCTGCTATAGTGGCTCAAGCATGGCAAGGAATGTGAGGATGGCACAGGATAAGGCAGTGTTTCATTCTGTTTTACACAGGGTTGCTATGAGTAGGAACTGACTTGAAGGTACCTAACAACAACAACATGCCTGTGGTTATAATCTCATTTGGGACTGATGTCTTTGTTATTATGTTAACGAGACAAGTCAGTGTAGGGTGTATCCTGAGTCAATTTCTTTTGAGATATAAAAGAGAAAATAAGCAAGCAGAACAGAGATGAGGTAAGACAGATACCAAGATGCATGGAGATCTCCACCGAACCAGGAAGCTGAGGTTGAAGAGACAAGAACTTTCCTCCAGAGCCGTAAGAGCCAGCACCCTGAATTCAGACGTCTAGCCACCTAACTGTAAGAAAATAAATTTCTATTTGTTAAAATCACCCACTGGTGGTACTTATTATGGTAGCGCTAGATACCTAGAACAATGGGTACTGTGAGGAATATATAATATAATAAATATAAAATCTGCTTGCAGCACAGTGCCTGACATATATATAGTAAGTGCTCAATAAATTGCCATTGTTATTATTAAAAGTTACATTAGAAATATCTCAAATGCTTCCACAAGAATTGAAGAAATATTGCTACTACTAGAATTACACTAATTACTACGTCAGTTTGAATATTTATCCTGATGAAGTAAAAAGAATCCTTCCCAAACAAGCAATCCTTGATAACCCATGACATAATCTGGGTAAATTATTTTAAATTGAATACATTATTTTTCGAAGTTATCAATCAAAATGTAGACAATACAAAGAGACTAAGAATTCAATCACAGACAGTTACTTAATAACATAGACTCTTAAGGCCATTATTTAAAAAAAAAAAAAAAAAAAACAATTCAACTGAGTACAAAATACATGCACAACAAACAGACTGCAATATCAAAAAGAAATACAGTCACAGGCTTATGTTGAAAATTATATGGTTTCAGCAGAGGTAAAACACCTACCTCTACAGAAGTAACTTCTAGGAGGAAAAACAAAATCTACAATTCCCTTTGTTATTTACCTGGATGAGTCATGGTGACTGGCTCCTCTTTGGATTTATTATTGTAGATGACTACAGCAACTGCATTGTGGAAAGCAGCCCGTGATATTTTCTCTTTAAATGTGCAATTTCCCCTCTGCAGCAAGGCAATCCACTGTTTGATATTAGGAGGAACAAAGAACCGTGTCTGAGGATCACAGCCCAGATGATCAGCAACTAAACAGAAAAGGAAAGACACAAATACACACATTAATCTTTTCCTGAGTAAAGAAGAATAAAACTGCTTAAGTTTCTATCAAAGTGCTCAACTGTTCTCTGAATACTATATAGCTCTAAAACTTTTCAAGCAGCTTGCTGCTAGCAAAGTTATGAATATGTCCACCAACATTATAAGGAATCTGAATCAAGACCTACACAAAGAACAGCTCTACTAAAATGCAGCCTGTGATGCAAATGAAAACAGTGACAGTTTCCTTTTAACTTTACGGACTGACCCCCCCCAAAAAAAGGGGGGGACCTGATAATATACAGCATAGGCTGGTGAAGAAAAGGCAAAACCATAAAGAAAAACAAAAACCAGAACCCAGGTCTGTGCCCTAATCCTGACACCTGCTCATTCATTTGCATTTACAGTCTCCCCACTCCCACAGAAGTAAGGAAAGGGGAAATGAATTTTGCTTGCAGTAAATGAGGCAAAGCAACCTTTGGTTCAATTACCAAGTGGTCTCACTGAAATTCATTAACGCTTGAACAAATCTCTTAGTAAACATCTATGGAATTTAGAAAATTTTAGTTTTTACCTATATTTGAAAGTTTAAATAGTGAGACAACATTAAACAAAAACAAGTAGATTATCTCTAATTAATATTTAATGGTAAAAATTACAACTCCACATTAAGATAATTACTAACTTACTTTATCTACCTGTCCAAAGGGATACATGAAAATACTAACTTTTGGGACTATAAATTACATGGCCATTGTTACAGATTTCCTGGACAGTTTGTTGCAAATACCAGTAAATAAGTTTGAATTTGTCAGGCCAAGCTCCTCAATTTTTGATTTATGGTCGCCACAGCTACAGCACCCTCTGCAAATCTTAAAAAGCCACCTCTGGCTTCTCTCTACCACTCTTCCACTCTCACATTCATAGCAGGTTAAAATGAAAGGGGAGGACAGTCCAGAAGGGGGAGAGAAGTTACAAAAAGTAAGTCTGCAGACTGTTGTACACAGTGGCAGAGAATGGAGAGCCCTTATGCCCCCTGAAGTCAGCCACTGTCAGAACAGTGTGTGGTAGGGAAAGGAAGGTGAAGAATGTAGCATATATCTGACAGCCTTGAAAGATGACTCAAGAAGAGAAGTGAAGTTGTGGTACATGAAAGATGGCACCAGTGGGGAAATGTTTTGCTTTCCACACACCTGGAAGCACAGTGCTAAGCAAAAGATCTAAATGCTTACACTACTTAAAGAAACTGTAAAATATAGAGATGCCATTAACTTTAGAGAATTACAGCTATCGTTCCTAGGCAAATAGTATCTTTCCCAAAATTCTCTTGTAATTATCATGGTGAAAGACTGCAATGACAGCATATTTGCTACCAGAGGTCTCCTAACACACAGTTAATAGGAGATAACCAATTTCACAATTTGTCACAAAGGATACTGTATACAACTAATAAATATTCTTTTCCTTAAACAGTTTCTGTACTCTGAAACATCAGTCCTTTCTCAATGAAATTAAACAGGAAAATCAAAGTGTATGTCATGATTTTGGTCACCAACTACTAAAGAACACAGTCAAGGTATCTTGAAACTATGAAATCCTGAAACAGACTGTTTTCTACCAGTGATATCTGGCACAAGACCGACATACAAAAATCAGGTGGATTCCTGTGCACTAACAAAAGAAAACTTTGAGAAGGAAATCAGGAAAAACAATACCATTTACAATAGCCACCTGTGGTACTTAAGGTTGTGTGTCAACTTGGCTGGGCTGTGGTTCTGAGTGGCTGGGTAGCTGGATGTAGTTATTCCCCATTATAAGATCACACTCACCTCCATGGTGTAATCTGCTGCAAGCAGCTAAGTAGCTGCCTTCAGGCTGTGGCCTGCTTCCATGGCATGCTGTGCCATTTTACCTGCCAATCTTAGGCTTTGTTAGCCTCTCCAGTTCCATGAGGCAGGAAAAGTCTCCAGCTTGATGGTCAACCTACGAACTAATAGAAGTAGAAGACATCCTTGGACCAGAGATCCCTGCGCTGAGACCATGGCAAAAAGACAGCAGCAGCAGCAGAGCCGAGAGACCAGCAGAGACAGAATGATGGGCTTACCAGCCCATGGAGCGAAGAAAGGTGAATGGCTTTAGACAGGAAGCTTCCTAACAGAGTGGGTTGCCTTCAGGCACTAACTGGCAGGAGGGACTGGCACAAGACAGAGTGATGGGCTTGCTGGCCCATGGAGCAAGAAAGCTGAGTGCCTCTGAGTAGGAAGCTTTGTGGCAGAGTGGTTGCCTTCAGGCATTAATTGGCAGAAGCTGAGAGACCAAGGAAATGGAAAGCAGAGCTGCATCAGTCTCAAAGGGTATGACTATGGCCTCTGGGAGTAGAGCCACCACAGCCTAAGTTTCAAAGAGTCAGATCTTCACCAACTTGGTTCTGAAATGTAGGGATACCTTACATGAATGTCAGTGGGATGAGGCCATATCCACTACCCCAAAGTGAAGGGGTAGGGCTGCCATGCCCAAGGGGACCTGCTAGACCAAGGGGGTGAGGTCAGTCCATTCAGATGGACTAGGAGACTCAGGCCACCCAATGAAGGAGATATGTAAAGGTGCCAAGTTGACAAAGGGTGAAATGTGGCAGTTAAGGTTGTGAATCAACTTGGCTAGGCCACCGTTTTGAGTAGCTGGGCAGGTGGATGCTGTTACTCCCTATGATGAGATTCCGCCATGGTGGAATTTGCTGTGAGGAGCTAACTAGTTGCACCTAAAAGTTGACACTCTAAATTTGGACTTCTAGCTTCCTAAACTGTAAGAGAATAAACTTCTGTTTGTTAAAGCCATCACTTGTTGTATTTCTGTTATAGAAGCACGAAACAACTAAGATATCACCCAAAAGATGAAGTCCCTAGGAATAAATCTAACCAGAGACACAAAAGACCTATACAAAGAAAAGTACAAAACACTAATACAAGAAAGCAAAAGAGACCTACATAAATGGAAGAATATACCATGCTCAAGGATAGGAAGACTTAACATTGTAAAAATGACATTACCCAAAGCAATCCACAGATATAATGCAATCACAATCTAGATTCCATCATCATTCTTTAAAGAGATGGAAAAAGTCATCACCAATTTTATATGGAAAGGAAAGACACCTCAGATAAGCAAAGCACTACTAAAGGAGAAGAATAAAGAAGGTGGCTTCACATTCCCTGATCCCAAAATCTACTATGCAGCCACGGTAGTCAAACAGCCTGGTACAATGACAGATACATAGACCAATGGAACAGAACTGAGAACCCAGAAGTAAATCCAGCTACCTGTGGATGGCTGATCTTTGACAAAAGGCTGAAACTCATTAAATGGGGAAGAGATCATTTTTTTAACAAATGGTTCTGGCAAAACTGGATATCCATTTGCAGAAAAATGAAACAGGATCTGTATCTCACACCATATACAAAAACTAACTCAAGATAGATCAAAGACCTAAATGTAAAACCTAAAATCATAAAGATCAGCAAAGAAAATAGAGGCAAATTTAGGGGAATTAATACATGGCATAAATACACTATTAAACATAACTAAAAACATACAAACAGCAGAAGATAAACTAGATGACAGGACCTCCTAAAAGTTAAACATTTATGCACATCAAAAGGTTTTGCCAAAAAAGTAAAAAGAGAACCTACAGACTGGGAAAAACAATTTTGGCAATGACATATCAGACAAGGGACTAATCTCTAAAATTTATAGAAAACTTCAACACCTCAACAACAAAAAAGAAACAATGCAATTTTTTTAAAAAAAAATGGGCAGAAGACATGAACAGACACTTCACCAAAGAAGACATTCAGGTAGCTGGCAAACACATGAAGAAATGGTTGTAATCATTAGCAATTAGAGAAATGCAATCAAAATAGCATTGATGTTTCATCTCACCCCAGTATTAACAGAAAAGTTTGAAAAAACAGAAAACAATAAAATACTTGTGAGGGTGTAGACAGGCTGGAACCCTCATACACTACTGGCTGGACTGTAAAATGGTATACCCACTGTGGCAAGCAGAATGGCACTTCCTTAAGAGGTTGGAGACAGAAATACTGTATGATCCAGCAATTCCACTACTAGGTATATACCCTAGAGAAGTAAGAGCAGTGATACAAACAGATATACACACACTCATGTTCGCTGCAGCATATTCACATCAGCAAAAGAGGGAAACAACCTAAGTGCCCATCAGCAGGTAAATGAATATATAAATTACAATATATACACAGAATGGAATAACATACAACATTAAAGAGTAACTATGAATCTGTGAAACACCTCGTAACATGGATGAACCTAGAGGACATTATACTCAGAGAAACTGGTCAGTCACAACAGGACAAATACTGCATGAGTCTTCCACTGTAAAAAGTCAAGAAAAGATTTATACACAGAAAGAATAATTACTTGAAGGTTACCAAGGGTAAGAGGGGAAGGGAAGGTAAATCACTAGCTAGAGGGTAGATACATATTAACTTGAGTAAAGGGAAAGGCAATGTACAATATAGAGGAAGTCAGCACGAAATGATCAAGGCAGTGGATGACACAGGGAAGAGCACAAGAGTGAAAGGCAAGAAAGGTGAATACTATCACATACACAGTCCTACCATAATACTAATAAATGATCGACAAGTGGATACACAGACCCTCAAGCTGAACAGTGATAGGAAGGTGAATAGGACTACACTCACAAACATATATAGGTTCAACAGAGGATTTCTGTTGTTGTTATGTACCGTCGAGTTGGACCTGACTCATAGTGACCCCTCCTTGGGTTTCTGAGGCAGTATCACTACAGAAGTATATTGTCTAACCTTCCTTCCGAGGAATGGCTGGTGGGTTTGAACCACCAGCCTTCTGGTTAGCAGTCAAATGCCTTAGGCACTATACCTAAGAGTTTTTTAAATAATAATAATAAAAAAAAACTGTAGCAGGAGTGCAACTG